GACACACAGCACCACATCCATCAGCAAGCCGCGAGCTGTCTCTCATATGGGGGAGAGCACGCACGCAGGCACTCACCCTCACGTGAAAAAAGGCACGGCCCATGTCGATTATTCCAGGATGTTGTTCCACAATTGTCTACATCCAGCTGCGAGTCATACACCACCACGTCCTATCCACAATTACCCTCGCATCAAATCAGCCGTCAGAATAACGCCACTTTTTTTTTTGGTTCAGCAAGCGCGAGGGCGGACAAGACGAAGAGACAACGTGCTCCACGACCACACACACAACATACGACTTACATCTTGCTTGGCAGCACAGACCACAACCCCCACACCCCCTCCCCTTCACTGCCACAACCAAGCGCCTCCCACATCGCAGCAACCGCCCACACACACGTAAACACGTACGCAGCCCAAGGATGGTGCGGACGCGGAAGAAGGCTGGCAAGTCCAGCAAGGAAGTTGACTTCAAGAAGAAGAAGAACAAAGTGGGAAAGTCCAAGCGGCAGGAGAACGCCACCGTCACCACCTTCAAGACCCGGGCCATCCACGTGACCTCGTCCTTACGAGAAGTCGATCACGCAAAGGAGATTGTCACGCAGCAAGGCCAGACCATCAGCGATCTGCTGGCAAAGGCCGGCCACTACAACAAGAACGTGCGTGCAGACGCGGTTCACGCCATGGCCCTGCTGATCGAGGATCATCCAGAGCTGCTGCAGCAGGCCGCAATTTTGTTGGCAGTGGTGGAGCGCGTGTGCCCGCTCATCTCCGACCTGTCCCACCGCGTGCGCACCGAAGTCGCTGCGCTGCTCAAAATCATCGCCTCCTCCTGTGATCAGACCCAACTCGTTCCGTACTTCCCACTCATGGTGGCGCACACCAGCACCGCCATGACCAGCATCGACCACTACACCCGCGAGGACGCCCTGAACGTCATCGACGTCTGGATCGACCACCTCCCGGCCTTGCTCGGTGAAATGGGCCACAAGCTGCTGGACAACTTTCTCCACCTCATCTCCTCCCAATCCTCTGGTGGCAGCGGCGGTGGCAGCAGTAGTGGCGGACTGTCCTCATCGTTGGCCTCATCATCAGCGATCGGGTCCATGCCTGGTGGCCGCCAGCTCTCCGGTGCGCCCAGCAGTGCGCTCAGCAGCAACAAAGGCCGCAAGTCTGTCCTGCAGAGGTTGAACCGCTTCACCCAGATTGCACTCCGCACACACGTGCCAGAGGTCAACGCACTCCACAGCGAGGCGCAGGCGTTGCCACCTCTCCAGCTTGGCCAGGCGTGTGTGAACACTGTCGGGCTATACCCGGCCTCCGGCCGCCAGTGGCAGCGGCGCCAGCGCAGTGAGACTGCACCTGCACCAGCCTCCTTCTCCACTGTGCCAGCAGCCACAGCAGCGGGACAACAAGCATCAGCGACCACAACAGCAACAAGGGAGAGTGCGGCTGCGGTGCACGGCTCAGCGTCTTCTGCTGCGGGGAGTCAGCAGGCTGGCCAGGGCCTCATGTCGCCATCGCACGTGCTGTTGTACGCGGTGCAGGATCTGTGGCCCGTGCTGGACCAAGCGTGGCTGGAGCTCGTGTCCACACGCGATGCTGTCGGTGTCACCAGCGAATCAGATGCAAACACCCTCTCCATCGTCTCCATCCTCGTGGTGCGTACACGCGTACATGTGTCGCATGTGTGCGTCATGGCATGTGTTTGGGGGATGGGAAGTTTTTGCATCTGGACGATACACACGCGCGCACGCACATGCCTTAAACACATACATATGCCGCACACGTCCCCCTCACGCACACACACGCACACACGCTCACATACCTTACACCCTCCCCCCCAAACGCATGCATGATACATGCTTCTGTTCCCGTTGCTTGCTTGCGCCAGGATCTTGCTGTGTGCATTGTGCAGTTTCTACAGGCCGGTGGCCACAGTGGTGTCACAGCGCAGACAAAGGAACAGCAGCAACAGCAACAACAGCAACAGGAGGAGGAAGAGGAGGCAATGCGACACAAGCACACGGCACCTGGTCCCGCTCGCAAACGCGCGAAGCACCAGCAGCTGCACCGCCATCACCTGTACGAAGGAGAGAGGGGCGGAGAGGGACGCAGCCTTTGTGTGTGTGTGTGTGTGTGTGTGTGTGTGTGTGTGTGTGTGTGTGTGTGTGTGTGTGTGTGTGTGTGTGTGTGTGTGTGTGTGTGTTGGGGGGAGGGGTGCATACGTGCATGTTTGATGCATGTGTGCATGTGCGCATGTGTACACGTGTGCGTGTGTTTTGTTTCTTTCAAGGCCTCGATTGTGCCTTCAAACAGAGCGTCGACCGAGCTCACGTGTGCGTTCCTTGCACACCACCCTCCCACGACCATTTTGCATAGGACGTGTCTTGATTTGATCCCCACGCTCTCCTCCCTCTTCTTCGAGCGGTTTCCCTTTGGCGGCGACGCCTGCTTCCACGTGGGTCTCGCTTTGGCTCTGTGTGCGTGCGTGTGTGTG